GGGGGAGGGGCAGAGGGAGAGGGACAAGCAAACTCCCCGCTGAGCAGGGACCCCGATATGGGGCTCGATCCCAGGACCCCGAGATCATGACCTGAGCCAAAGGCAGACGTTTAGCTGACTGAGCCACCCAGGCGTCCTCCAGGTTATTCTTGATCCAAATAGCGCCTTACTGAGGAACCATGAGGACTAAGTAAACCAATGCGTGTAAAGTTGTTCGCGCTGCCTGGCCCAGCATAAGTGTCCAGTAAGTGGCAGCTCCCACTGTTCATGGGTGGCTTCCTTGCTTGCATGTGTTAGCACTGCGAGAGTCTATGAAAGGAGAGGTGAAGCAGGCCAGTTGGTTGGACCTATGAGAAGAACAAACCCTATCATGCAGAAAGATTATAGTAACTTCAAAGTCTAGTTTTGGAAAATCTCTTTAAATCTAACCAGTGCAAAATGGAAAACCCCTAAAGAACCAATCTAATTATTTAACTAAATGGAACCATTATGCTGACTTTTACTACAGAAGGCAAGCATAATTTAGAAAATGGGGCATTTTAATTCTCTTTTGTTTTCCAATTAACGCAATTGCTCTAATAGGAGGTACTCGTGCTTGAGTATATATGTTCTTTGAATACATATTTCATATATACTTTCAGTGTCTCTCTCTCTTTCTCTTTCTCACCAAATAACAGAATCCTCACCTGTTGACATAGTGGTTCCTTTATTACATTGGTCAGGCTGCCCAGATTATGACCTCAGAGCAAATATCTTTTGCCATCAAAGTGCCCTGAACAGGCCCACAGCACAGCTCTACGTTCCCTTCCGGCTATAATTAGGATGTTGAAGTAACAGAGCGCTCAGTTTTTTGCTGATGCCAGCTTACCACAGCACAGACCACATGAATTTACTCTTAGTTGAAAGTAGTAAAGAAAATGCCAAGAACATTCATTTTAATTGGTCGACATTATATGGACCTTTAGTGCCACTGTTTTATGGTCCTGTGTTTTAGATTTCTTTCTGCCACCAGCCGTCAGCTTACTATGGTGGATGTTCTTATTCGCATTTGATTATCCTTTTTATTATTATTTTGATCGTTACGTGGTTGCTGATTATTGTTTGAAAACTTTCCTCCTCTTCTGCTTGTTGTTACCTTCCCTAGGTTAACAATTTCATGTGCCCTAATATTTGCTAGATTCCATATAAAACACTGACATTTTCACATTGGTAAGGGATTATTTTCTCATCAGATGGTCCCTGAGACTGGAGGAGACGGCAGAATTTTTTTTTCTTAGATGCTTGCTTTGATGATGCTCTTTCATAGCCAAAAAAGAAAATGGGTCATTGATAGTGTGTGGTAGTAGTAGTAATGGGGGTGGGAATGGTGACACACCATCAGTTGTTTGATGCAGGTAGACATGTTTTCTTCTGTGCTGATGGGATTGATTTCCCCCTGGGCTCCGGAAAACGTGTGATTTGTTGCTCTAACATGAAAGAGATGGCATAAAATAGGAGAGAATGGTAAAAAGAGAAATGTAGGTTTTTTAAAATGTGAACTCGGGGCGCCTGGGTGGCTCAGTCGGTCGAGCGACTGCCTTCGGCTCAGGTCATGATCCTGGAGTCCCGGGATCGAGTCCCGCATCGGGCTCCCTGCTCGGCGGGGGGTCTGCTTCTCCCTCT